TAGTACTGAGCATTCTCAGGCTGGGAGAGCAGGCTGAACCTGACCTTGTTATGGTCCAGGGTGCAGATCCCAGGAGGGAATCCTTTCTCAACTCAGTGTGTTCTGGGCCGTTTGACAGATAAGCTTGTCGTCTCCCTATTGGCCTATAATAGGCGTCCATTATAGGAATGTGTGGTTCATTAAGGAAGTTCCAAGTGACTCCTTTGCTTTGCTCTCCACCCCCCCACCCCCCAATACACCTTTTGCACTGCTTCAAACTAGATGCAAATTTCTTTCCTTGACCCAAATTTCACCCCACATTTCTGTCTATACCTGTGTGGCTTTCATACCGGGCGCCTGTACTTTTTGTTCTTAAATACGGATACTAAATACTGACTTCATGCCCCGGCTCATGCTATTCTTTCTGCCTGGATGGTCCTTCCCTCCCTGTGTCTGCCGCGCAAAGTGCAATGGATCTTATCCATCAGTGCCTGGTAAGAACTAGGGAAAAGCAGGGCCTGGTGACCACAACGGGGCGGAGCAGGAGGCTGAGAAGGCACAGGCTGGCAGCCCGTAAGTACAGGGGATTCTCAGTGTAGACAAACCCAGGGTTACCACATGGGGAAGGGCGGTCAGAGAGCAGGAATGGGGAATACCGGCGAGGAGGCCACAGTCCTCAGAAGTGTCAAGCGCTAGGGTCCCTGTGGCGGGGGTTAGGACAATGCTTGAGTTTTCAGCGAGGCAACTGGCAGGTGGGGGCAGGGCCCCGCTCCTAAAGGCAGGTTAACAAGCAGGGCTGTGCTGGAGAAACTGAGGCAGAGGCAGTTAAAAGAACCTGGGACCAAGAGGAGAGCAAGACGACAGCTGAGATCATTCTTAACCCAGGTCAGGACTCCACACGGAGATCGGGTGCAGGGACCTCACTGCCAGGGGTGGTAAAGCCGGCCGCCAAGATTAAAGTAACACCATGAATAAGTTCCAGAACTCTCTCCTATAAAACGCTTCTTAAGAGTGACATCTAGGGGCAAATGCCTTTTAAGTGTGCTCCTCAAGCTGCCTGCTTCGCATAGATGTGCCCGAGAAGGTATTATCTGGCTCCCCAGCTTTCTTTTGCTTTATCTAACATGTATTTGCTCAGTGCCTACTGTGTGCCAAGAGCAGGCAGGAACTGACCCTCGGCCCTCTCCTCTCCACTCGGCAAATTCCTCCTGAGTGCTCACTACGTCTCAGGCCCCACGGGAGGGATTAAGGTCAGATGGGGCCCGGCTGCCATAGCCTTGCCCAGACGGCGATATGCGGTCCCAGGTGCCATGAAGGCACTGTGCAGGGCAAAGCCTACAGCCGGGGGCCCCACCAGTGGGCGACTGCTCTGTTTCGGAAGTGAGTGTGGGGGGTGTGCAGTGGGCTCCCCGAATGGAGCCTCCTGGGCAGGCTTCGATAATCAGATTTGATTCAAAGTGAGGTGAGAAGCTGAACAGTTTATAGGGAGTAGCACTGTATCTATTGCTTCAGTTCAGGTTTTAACCAAATTCTGATGAATTTACAATCTTCTCCAAGGCCAAAGAGTAGAATGAAGGGAAAACACTCAAATGTGGACAGTGTTCTTTTTGGAAGGTGGGTTTTCAGTATCTTCCTGATATTTTTAATATTTCACTGGCTTTAGGAAAAAAACCAAATTTACCACTTTTAAAATTAGGAGAAAGCCCCCACGTTCTTAGATTAAAAAAAGAGGGAGCCAAATTTCATTTGCTAATGATATAAATGTATCTGTAGGTCACAGAGGTTCTAAAACCATTTAGTGAAATTTAAAGCGCAGTGGTTCTCAAATCAATTGTCTGTGAGTAAAACGTGGTTTTCCTTTTCACTCTTCAGTAAGGGAGAGATTTGCCAAATGAGAATTTATTTATCAAAACCGTCATCTTTGAAGTGTTTCTGTTTAGCACGTGGCGTCCAGGACGCTGCTCCGGAGGCCAGCAGGGGTCCTCGGGTTCAAATAGTCAGCGTGCCTTGGTTTTGTGCCTTTTTGTGTGATCACAGCTCGCTCCTGAAGTCGACCCTATTCTAGAAATAATTTATCAAGATGCTCCTGGGTTCAACAAGTATTTTGGAAAAAAGGGAGAAGGGCAATAAAGCAGCGCCTTCCTCTTTCAGTTTCCGGCCTTCGAGCCTTCAGCCAAGAGCTAGGTATGTTTTCACGTCTTACGGAGAAGCCTTGCCTCACCCTTAATGAAAAGTGGGTCAGTTTCTCTCCACCCTCCCTAACAGGCTACTCAAACATGCTGTGTGCATTAATTAACCTCACCATTCTAAATTAGCGGTTTGCTGGAAATGAGGACACCTTTGATTCAAAATGTAAATAGATACAACATTTTCTAGCCTACCTAAAAACGGTGGCTTTATTATACGAGATCCTGCGGCGCTATTTCGAGAGCTTAGAGACGTCCTCCCAGAGCCCGAAGGCCTTTGTTTCAAAAAGGGAACATAAAACTAAGAAACAGAAAAATTTCTGGAGGGTTTCATAGTATGTTAAAAAAAATAAATTGTCACAAGGCCTGAGTCAAATGATGAAAACCTGCTGCTCATCTTGGTCAGGCTGAAACTTCAGGAAGCCTGGATATGAGATAATCGTATACACACGTGTCTGTGGCCAGCTTTTTCCCTGTTGTGAGTGAGGTGTGGGGGGTGAGCAGATAAAGGGGCAGGGTGGGGGGCAAGCAGGCAGAGCTCAGACCCCCCACCACCCCCGCTCTTTCCCCAGAACAAGGCTACTCTTCTGCGTTTTGTACGTTGCTATTGTGCTTGTGATCTCATGTCTAAGAGGGCTTCTCAGCTTAAAAGCTTTCCAAGTTAGCAGACCCCTTGCAATATACGTCCCACCGGGGTCTGCCAGATGTTGGATTTTGGCTGTGGTCTCGGCACTGGGAAGAGCATTCTACCCATTGCGCTTAGATAATCCCTTCCTGCTCCTGCTGTTATGGAAGAGGAACCCCAGGTTCTGAACAGGCGGGTGCTCTGTATCACACACAGAGATATTAAGTAGAGGGCTAGGATTCAAGCTTATTTGTCTGCTCCAAAGCCATCCTTCAGCTACAGTGCTATTCTGGATCTGGGTTTAAGGCTCACAGGTACTTAAACCGTAGGCCAGTACTCTAGAACACAGATACATCAGTTCCGTAAAATTTACGAAGGTGTGTTTTTTAGCAGTGCACATGGCCTAGAGGTCACTTTGGTGAAGGAGGTTTTAGCGGTTTGGGAAGACAGCTTTAGTCACAACAGATGGAGCAGTGGTCCTGGACCGAGAGACTAGTGCAAAGGCTCCCTGCAGAGTTTTGTTGCTTTGGGTAGAAGCTGTCTGGGAGGAGGAGTGACCTTTCTTTGGCCTCCCACGTCCCAAATCTTCATTAAAGAATATTCTGAAGCATAACAATGAATAAGAGTAAAAGGGGAAGTCCTGCTGGGATTTTAGGGGTGGCACGGACCCTGTGGGGTCCATAGGAATGGCAGAGACGGGCAGTCATTCTGGGGAAAACCACTGACCGAGAGAAAGAGAACACACACAGAGACAGCAGGAAAGCCTGTCAGAGAGGACGGACTCCTGTGTGCCCGACTCTCAGTGGCATGACTGCGGCTGTGCTTTAGGCCCCTTGGGTGAACCCCCTCTGGGGTCCCCCTCTTCTTTAAATGGTAAAGTTCTTCCAGGTTTGGGGTTTTTTTGAGAACCATTTTTCTCTTCCAGGAAGTTGTCAAAAAACATGATTTTTAATTTTAAAGAAAAACAGGACTGAAATGTGTCAAATCCCTTGAAATAGTCTGAAATCCAGTTGAGTTTACACAGAAACACACACACAGCACACACACACACACCCCAAATCCTAAGACCATCTGGCCGCAGAGATCTCAGTCTCTCTGACAGCATTCCCGGAACCGTGGGAGAATTAAGTCCTGTAATCAGATCGAAATCAGCCAGGAGAACAAACAAGAACAGACAGCTTTCAAAACAATGCGTATCTCCCAGTTCTGTTGCACTCAATTGCGGGGCCTGAGCCACATCCAAGGATCCCAGGGGACTCCAGAAGAGACTCCGGAAAAAAGGTTTGTTCCTGAAGTGCTAATTGCAAACCAGGCTGTGCTGAAGAGGCCCTAAGGCTGGGGGTCAGGGACGGGGGTGGGGTCTCTAGAGGGGACCCAAGCACAGGTGCCGGTCAAGTCACACTCTCGAGCTCCCTGGTCTGTTTTGTGTTCGTGGGGGGTACCGTGTACGTATTTCATGCAGCCCGTCAGGTAGTCATTTTCACTTCTATTCCTTCACAGTGACTAAGTTTGCAAGTGCCAAAATGTTCCTCCTCGGGTGCTTGAAATATTTGCTAGTCAAATGTGGATGGAGACCAGGAAGGAATAAAAAAGCAAGGAGGACGTGAACGCCCCGGGGAGACGGGCTGACCCATGTCAGAGCCCGCTGACCGGTGAGTAGCCCGTGTCAGAGCTGGGCACACCCCCTGCACACACACTGACAGCATTTCGAATGAGAGAAGGGACTGTCCTTCACACACATGAGACAAGAGTCCAGGGATGCAGCCACCATCCCCTCTGTCAGTAATTTGAAAAAGACACACCTGTCGCAGACATCAAGAGAAGCTCACGATTGTCTGAGAGTCCTGAAAGGGACAGGCAAGATTTGGATTTTCTAGGCCCTGGCTTGAATAGAGAAAGAAATATTCGGAGGGGCTCCCCGGTCAAGCCAGGGGTCAACCCCTTCAGTACAGGGGCCATCCTGGTGTTTTGGATCTGCCTGTCCCTGGATTACAGAATGCTTTCACCTGCCGTCTGGTTTGAGGTGGGAGGTGACGGAGGAATGGGATTGTGTACGTGGGGATGGAACAGAGGAAACGGGGAGGACTGGGTGTCTCTGCCGGAGAGGGTGGGCAGAAAAGCCTTAGTGGAGCTGGGGGGCAGAGCTGCTGGGCCCGGCAAGCACTCTCTGGTTGGTGTTCCCGGAGGCCATGCAGGAGGAGGCCAATTACCTGAAATTTCTGGAAGTGTAGGCTTGTCTTCTTTCCAGAAGTTCCCATCACAAACAGGAAGTCTGGGGTTAGCACAAACGGCACTCTTTCTTTATTAATGCCCAGGAAACTTTTGTAATTCCCAAGAATGTGTCCAAAGTCGATATGAAATAGGTTTCCTTCAGAGAAGAAAATGTCAGACATCATTACACTGGCACAATGGCTTGTAACAACACTCTGGTTTGTTTATTTCCTGGAGTATTTTTTCAAGTTGCCTGAAAATGAGCTATCTTGGGTGAGAGAGCTATTTTTACCCTGTTTTAGAGGCTTGTGATATTTTTCGGCTTAGCAGGTGTGCGTAGTAGTAACCACAAAGCACTCTTTGAACCAAGTGTGTTTTTGATATCCTCTGGTGTTCTTTAAATGACAGCCAAATGCCATTAAAAAAAAAAAAATCCTCGACTCGTCTCAATTATTCTTAGAAATGGAAGTCTACACTCTCTGGCTAATCTGCCATTGTTACACCCCGGACCCTCTTATGCCCTTTATGGGACTCAGGAAAGAAGGCGGGTTGGTGCTGCTTGGGGGAAGGGCGTTCACCTTTTACTTTGGAGTAGCCCCACAGAATTAAACCATATTGAATCTCCTTTGGGTCCATTTCTACCACTGTCACTATTACCACCACGATGACCACCATCTCCTCTCGTTTACGTAGCCCGTATTGCACGTCTGGTCCATAAGTACGTGACATCTTTTGCTTCCCACAGAGAGGAAGCAGTTTACCCCCATCTGGTGCTTTTTCCAGGCTCCACTCTTAAACTGGTCCAGATTTCTTAGAGAACCCTTTCCTGGCACGGTAGCCAGTACTGACCACTGTCAGGGCAGTCAGCGAACTGGTGACGAGGGGTAGGTTAGGAAGGCAGAGCGCTTCCGATGGAAGGACATCTGGGAGTTCTTGTCGTCACTTCCCTGCTGCGTCTGGCACTACCGATCACACCCGCTGTCACCAGCTTCTGGGATATGTCCCCACACAAGCTTTCTAGCTACTCTCTGGCTTTTCCTTCTGAAGTCTCATTTCTGGCATCTTCTTCCGTTATTCACTCCTGGGTTCTGTCTGGGAGTGATCACGGCGTCTATGTCCCTGCACGGTAATGACTTCTAGATGTGAGCTCTCACACGGACCTCTGCTTAAATATTGCTCTGTGCCGAGGAGAGGGGAGAGGGGGAGTTAGTACTAGTTCAGTGGGGACAGTGTTTCCGTTGGGGAAGGTGAGAAAGTTCTGGCGATGGGTGGTGATGGTTGTGCAGCAGTGTAAATGTATTTAATGCCGTTTAACTGTATACTTAAAACTGGTCAAAATGGTAAATTCTGTTATATATATTCTACCATGATAGAAAAATGATAATAAATAAACTCACCTGTCTCCGTGATCATAATATTGTCGTTGTGCCTGTCGCCTATTCCAAGAACAAAGGTAGCCACACAGTAGCCAGCGCAAGAATAAACAAATCTCTCCACGGCTGCCTGAAACTAATGCAAAGGCATCTGGGCATTAGCTGTGTTCTAACCACAAAGAACAGAGCACCCCAATGACAGGTGACTTCCAAAAAGGACCGTTCTGGGAACTGTTTTCAGAGAGCAAGTGGGTTGCCCCTGATTTCATTAACGTTCTATGAGTTGCTGACTTGGTCACCGCTTTCCTTACAATTTAGGTGAAGATTCAGTGACTCAGAGAGCGGGGAGAGGAAACAAGAGTCAGGGAGCAACAGTTGATCAAAGGGTTCGTTTCCGCACCGCTTGCCAGCAACTCCACAGAACCCATAATGGTTCCTCCTTCATCCGTGAACGTATGTTTTGCTTGTGACCACTCCCAGTAGGCACGGGTTCACAAATCCACGTGTAGAGCCGCCTAATAAATGCTGCTAGTTATATTTCCTCCCCAAAAGACTGCTAACCATGCAAATGAGAAGGGCTAATCTGGCGCAGCAGAACTTGAAGTGACAGCCAAGCAGCCCAAGCACGCAGCTTGTGAAGGACGCAGCATACGTCCTTCAGAAAGATGCTGGAACTGACATTTGCCGCATCCATAATTCACCGTTTAGATGGGAGGGCGGAGGCGGGTGTGTAAATTACAAGTTCACTGATAGGATAGGTGGCGTTTCCCAGGGAGGAAGGGGTTGATAACACAATGACTACATGTTTCTGCTGAACAACAACAATGGACTGTCCTAAAAAGTGCCAACACATCATTTCATAGAACCAAATTTGATGCAAAGCGTGCCTGATAATCAAAGGAGAAACAAATGCTCACAGCATTCTGAATGGAGCGTTTGACACCAATCTGCCGTGTCCCATGGGAAGGCGCTTAAAACCCTCTTGGCCTCACGAGGACAGGATTTTGCCCAACATCAGGAAGTGTGACACTGGTAGATGCTTTGAAAATGTGAACCCATTATTGTACATAAATGACCAGCTTGCAAGGAGCCTTTGGCGCTGCAAAAAGCAGGAGCTCACCTTTTCTTCAATGGGGCATTTTTCTTTGAGCCAATGATTCAGGACCTCATCTTTGAATGCACCTGTGTTGCCCACTGTGCTTTGCTGAATTTTGGCAATTGTTGTGGCATCTTTCACGATCTCGATCATTCCTACAGGAGGCACAGAATCTGATGTAAACCGGGACCTGGTGCCTGACCCCGGGGTGAATGGTTCTGTCTCTGTTGATGGGGGCGGGGGGCAGGAGGCTTTTCAACCAGGGGGCTATTTTCCAGGTTTGTGCTGTTGGTTTTCTTAGGAGGGACAGAAAGTAAAGGAGGAGGATGGAGGAAGTTGTGTGGGACCTGCTTTTGGTGTCCCTGAATGAAAAGAGGAAAGCTGGTTTTGAAAAGTCATAAGTAAAAAGCACTTATGTGCTGAGCATAGGAGGTTGGCAAATGGTGCCTTTTCCTTTTTTTATCCCAGGGTCAAATGGAAGTGGTTTTATACAGTTCTCAGATCAGAAGCTTGAATAAAAATATGTGTGGCTGAAAAAAAAATGTTAAATGTCTATAAAAGCACCAAAGAGATGACTATATAATCACTTCAATAATGTGAATTCTAAGATACTGAAGTAAGTGACAGATCTTTCCATCTATTTTTAAATGTTATTTGTGAGAGAGACGTTTAATGTGCAGTGAAACGAGTTACAGTTTAGACATGGCAAGTAGAGAGGAGGGAATAAGTTCTTACTAAAATCATTACCATGTATAGTCACAGGACTGGAATCCCACACTTGTGTATTTCCAACAGATCCACATTAACTCGAGTCACGTGCACCAGCCTTGGAACACTGCCTTCTTTTTTTATATGGATTATGTGTGTAATTTTTCAGGTATTAAATGCCTACACGAAAGGGCTTAGGATCCCTTGAAGCGAGCTGAGTGGTACATTCATCTCCCGAGGTGACCACATACCTATTTTGTCCCCAGTTGAAATGCAACCATATGGCAGGAGGCACAGATCCAAAGATTCAGTCTCCCAAATGGATTCCATGATTCGTAGAATCTGGACAGCGATCACAAAAAAAGTCTCCATTAGAAATATATATTTGCTTAATGTCTTTTTCTTCTCCCTTAAAAAGCCCCACAATCTTATCTGGTAACACAAAATATGTACATTACACTCTATAAATAATAGCCGTACTTTTTTTTGCAGTGGGTGCTCTGAAATTCTCCTTCCTTGGGGGCCTCTTAAGTTCGGTCCCTGAGATGTCCTCTGGGAAGAGGGTGAACGGATTTTGAGTGGGGAGACGCGGTAATGACGTTTTAGCTATTCTGAGGTTACGGTCTGCTCTGCTGTTCTTACGAGTTTTTATCCATAAGGCATGCTTGGGCTAACCCAAGGCAACAGGAGCAGTGCTGAAAATGTCGGCAAATTGATTGAGTGCTGTTCTAGGTCTTTCCTTTGCATTTACCCTCTCACGGGAGTATGATTATCATTCCCATTCTGCAGGTGGAGAGACTAAGGCTTCCTGAGCTCTTGTAAGCAGCATGCCTCAGCATCAAAACAAAACATAAAAGGCATGTGCAAACCTCCCCGCAAATTGAGAGGAATGGCACAGTGATGCAAGTTCTTGTCTTCGAATAATGCAAAGGAGTCTGCAGATTTATGGGAAATGCAACAAAACTCCAAGAGGTTTGAAGGATTTCTTTTTCTTTCTTTCTTTTGAATACTTCTGAGACAATACACCTAGGATTCTTGAAAAGAGCAAAAGGTATTACCGCTTCCGTATCAGAAATAAGTATGAGCAGAAACGGAGAGAATGGAAAACACGACCAGTTTTTAAGCAGGCCACATTTAGCTCAATGAGGTCTGCCTATTTTTAATAAACCACACTAAAGATTAGAACTTATGTTACTTCTACAATGGTGAGCTAGAATATGGAGAATATTACTTTACCGGGTTGCAAAGCTAAAGTTGATCCAGAAACGTTAGCCAATACGGAAGATGGCCAACATCGATTATCATCTGCCTTCTGCTCTAGTAATCCATTCACTCCTGCTGTTTAACTGCATGAGTTCTGAAATCACCTGCCTGTTCTCTCTTCCTTCACTTGGGTTTGCAGATGTGGATGTGTATCACAGTCTGTGGGTCTCTAAGGAGAGCACCTGTGGGTGCACATCTATGTCTATAAATATACCTAAAGGGGATGCCAAGGCAGCCGAAGAGGTCTGTATTCTATGTTATCACGGTAGGAATATGGTGTGCACAAGAAGGGCACGGGGAGGGAGACCCATCTGGCCCCATGCGGAGGCTGGCTGTGCATCTTCTCACGGACGGATGGAACGGGGCTGTTCCCTGATCACGCATCGAACAGTCTGCAGCCATGCTCCCCGCTGTGGAAACTCTGTTACGGAATCCTGGCTCACCGTGTGTGGATGGAATAGGAGAGTGGGAATGGAAGTCATGGGGGCATTTTTTAGCTCTAACACGGAATTCTTTTTTCAGGTACCTGAGCAAAAATTTCCTTAGCGGTGGGCGTACCTGTAAAATCAGCATGTCTTGGCGCAGGTCATCGCCGTGTTTAAAGATAATTCCAATCGTTTCGCTGGATAGGGCCGTGGGGTCGGCACATTTAAACTCAAGCCACAGCGGCTTCTTCTTGGAGGCCATCACTTTACATTTTTCAATCTGTAAGGAAAGGGTCATGTGTTTCCAATACATAATGAATACGTGTTGTGGAGATACAAATCCTCTTGCAAGGCGCCACTACAAACAGCCAGTACGGCATCCTAGCTGGAAAATGATGTTTAATGATTTGGGTGAAAACACAGAAAGGATTCCAACCAAATCTGGATATAAGAGCAAGTCACAGTACCTGAAAGCAAGGGTTCTCAAACTGTGTTCCAAGGAACCCTCAGAGTCTGTGGAGGTACCCAAGAGGCAGTGGCAGATGCCATCTGCATAACCCCCCCTCCCCACAGGGCCCTGGTACTCCCATGTGCCGTTTATCCAAGCCCAACAAATACTAGTAGACGAAATGTAAAGAAAACCATACCAAGGCCCATCATCATCAAATTGCTGGAAACCACGGTGCTAAAAAAGAAAATCTTAAAAGCATCTTGGGGAAAAAAGACATGTAGAGAAATCAAAGATAAGAATGATAGAAGAATTACTGTCAGAAAATATGCAAGCCAGAAGAAAATGCTGCTGAAAGGGAGAAAAAAAATCACCCTAGAATTCGATATTTAGGGGAAACAGCTTCCGAAAAAATGAAGGTGGGATAAAAAGGTCTCTTAGACAAACATAAACTGAAAGAATTTCTAGCCAGAAGACCTGCATTATAAGAAGTATTTAAGGCTGAAGGAAAACAATGCCAGATGGACACAGGAACCGATACAAAGAAATAAAAGAGTCCCAAATGTGGTTAAGTGTGTGGGTAAATATAAAAAATGTTTAATCTCTTAAATCTGCTCAATCTGTTCTTAACTATTTAAAGCAATAATAACAATAGCTATTATTATTATTGGGTTTATAATATATGTGGGAGTTAAAGGCATGACAAAATAGTGCAAAGGATGGGAGGATGGTAATGGGAATATACTGTTGTAAGATTCTTAGGCAAATATGGAGTGGTTTATCATCTGAATGTAACCCAGAGCATGCAGTATTGATATAAGGATATCTATTTATTTATTTATTTATTTATTTATTTATTTATCTTAGAGCAAGTGGGAGGAGGGACAGAGGGAGAGGGAGAGAGAGAATGCCAAACTCCTCAATGAGTGCAGAGCCTGATGCAGGTCTTAATCTCCTGACCCTGAGATCATGACCTAAGCCCAAATCAAGAGTCAGAAGCTCAACACATTGAGCCACCCAGGTTCCCCAAGGATAGATATTTAGATCAATGAAGTGGACTGGAAAATCTAGATATAGGACCTCTGAAATATGGTCAGTTGATATCTGACAAAAGTGCCAAGGTATTTCAACAGGAAAAGGTTAGTCTTTTCCATGGATGGGGCCAGAAAAGTCAGATATTTGATTCTTAAAAAACCCACACCTGATCTTTACTTCCAACTCTACACAAAAATTAACTCAAAATGCGTCAAAGACTTACATATAAGAGAGAAAACAATGAAACTTCTAGGAAAAAGGATTTGTCATGTTGAATTAGGCAGTATTTCTCAGCTTTGGCCCTGCTGCCATTTTGGGCTAGATCATTCATTGTTGGGAGGCTGTTCTGTGCATTGTAGGATAGTAAACAGCATCCCTGGCCTCTACCCACTAGATGCCAGCAGCATTGTTCCAGTTGTGACCATAAAAAATAGCTCCAGACTTTACCACATGTATGTGTTTTTGTTGGGGGGTGTCACCCCTGGTTGAGAATTACTGGATAAAGCAGAAGTTTCATAGGACACAAAAAAACAAACTATAAAAAAGTGACAAGTTAGGCTTAATCGAAACTAAACCCTCTGCTCTTTGAAATACACTACTAAGAAAATGAAAAGGCAAACCATGGACTGGTATTCGTAAAATATATACCTGATAAAGGATAAATGATTTGTAGCCAGAATATATAAATAACTCAAAAATAAGAAGGCAACCCACATTTAAAAAAAAGAATGAAAGGTGGGAACAGAAACTTCTCAAAAAAATAAATAAGCATATGGACATTGGGGAGGGTATGTGCTATGGTGAGTGCTGTGAAGTGTGTAAACCTGGTGATTTACAGACCTGTACCCCTGGGGCTAATAATACATTATATGTTAATAAAAAACAAACAAACAAAAAAATCTTGGGGAAAAAAATAAGCACACAAGAAGATACTCCACATCATTAGAGAAATGCAAATAAAAGCAACAGTGTGATACCAGTTCACCATTGGAATGGCTAAAATTAAAAATTGGTGATAATAAGTGTTGACAAGGGTGAAGGACAATTGGAACTCACAATGCTGGTGGGAAAAGAAAATGGTACAGCCACTTTGGAAAACCAGTGTGGCGGTGTCTTATAAAATGAAACACACATGTACCATGACTCCACTGCCTCGCTGTTAAATACTTCCTCAAGAGGTGAATGGAAAACAAGTCTCAGTATATCTGGACAGGGGAATACCACTCAGTCATAAAAACAGGAAGAGACTGTTGACACACACAGTGACGTGGATGGATCTCAAAAGCACTATGCTAAGGAAAAGTATCCAGAAACAAACACCACACAGTGTATGATTCCCCCTCATGAAGTTCTAGGAAAAGTTAAATGATGTGGCAGGGGCAGATTTGTTGTCTAGGACGGGGGATGGCAGGAGGGAAGGACTAATTGCAAAGGCACATGAAAGGACCCTTCCTACGAGATCTCCCTGGAAATGTTCTCGATCCTGATTGTGGTGGTGGTTATATGATTTGTCAAAACTCATTACACTGTACACTTCGAATGAGTGAGTTTTATTGTATGTGAATGATTCCTTAAGAGAGCTGATTTAAAACCAAGTGGTTGGGAGACTGCCTGGTGTGGAGGTTTTGAGTAGCTAGTGCGTAGAGAACACCTTGACAAGAGCCCTCTCGGGGACTTTCCAGCTTCTCTGTCTCTACATACATGTTAGCTCTGACCCACTGGACCCTGTAAAGCGTGCACAGACAGCTTCAAGACACAAAGACCACTTGGGGACATCAGGGTGATACCTACCACTAAGGCTCCCGCCTTCAGTCCAGGATCATATGGCACTCTAAAGCTTTTGGGGAGATTCGCATTCTGTAGGTTTTCAAGCTTTTGCTTAAGTTGTGAAATAACTGTAATTTTCAAAAGCACACAAAAGTTACGTAAGTTCAGGGAGTCACCGATTTTATCTAGAACATTTCCTGAGGCCACATCTCTTCATAACATTCTATCCATTTGGTCTGGTGTGGAGTCGGAACCCAGGGCGTTGGGTTTCTGTCTTTGAGGAACTAGCCATAAGAGGTGGCAGGTTAAATCAGGATTATAATTTTTTTAAAAGATTTTATTTATTTATTTGCCAGACAGAGATCACAAGTAGGCAGAGAGGCAGGCAGAGAGAGTGGAGGGGAAGCAGGCTCCTTGCCGAGCAGGGAGCCTGATGTGGGGCTTGATCCCAGGACGCCAGGATCATGACCTGAACTGAAGGCAGAGGCTTAACCCACTGAGCCACCCAGGCGCCCCTAAATCAGGCTTATTGTGAGCAATGTGACCGCGACGCATGATACAGCAGAGGATAGAAGCGTGGGAGTGCATCTGTGGGATCCCAAGCCAGTCAGGTAAGGGAGGATACCTTGAGGGTAATGCTAAGGAATGAATACTGTAGTTTTTGTTCCAATGTGAAACTCTCAACTGCCATGTGGTTTGGGGAACAGACATTTGAAGACTGTTTGAAATGCCATTCGGTTAGGGTTCTGTAAATTTTTTTCAAAAGAGGAAGTTAGGTTATGTGGAGACAACGTGATAGCCTCAAAATTCAGGAGTTCTTCAGAATTCTAAAGTCTAAGGCAAAATATGTAGGTTGAAAATGACTTCCTGAATACCATACTGGAGGCCAGAACAAGTGTTTCCCTTTCTTATTTGCAATGCAAAAAGATGATTATTACCATTATTATGTTTTAGGGGAGAGTACTATTGGTGTATTGGAAAAGAATCAAAGGGAAAAAGTGGAAATTTGGAATATTAAGTTTAAAATACTGGCTGAGTATATTAGAGTGTGTCCACCTGGGGCCATAGTGCTGGGTCTAGGTATACACAAATGAGTAAGAAATATCCCCTTGTTTCAAGGCTCATGAAATTTACTAGACCAGAAAGACATGTTAATGACTCTAATTTAATACAGTATCAACCCAAACCTATGGGAATACAGAGAAAGAGTGATTAATTTTCCTAGGGGCAGGGGCAGGATTTCTTAGGGATAAGAAGATCATTTTGGAAATGACTTCAGAGAGGAGATGTATAAGTCCACTGACATAAATAAATAAATGTATGTGTGTCTATATGTATACACACACACATTTTAAATTAATTTCTTAATTTCTTTAAATGACTGAAAATTTGAAAATTATGCACATATTGAAAGGGAGGAAATAGGTAAGTATTTGCAAGTAACTAATCTTTGGATGGGTGCAAACAATCGTTCTTAATACATCTTACATTGGCATAATGCTTTTTAAATTATTCATGGAGTTTAATGTCTATTTTCATAAATTCATCATTAGCACGTATATGTGTATAGTTCAAAAAAATATGAACTTGTAAAAAGGGAGCTTTAAATTCACTTACTCCACGGAGATAGGGGATTAAAAAAACCTGTCCTTGGCTCCCTTTCGGAAGGTGCGACTTGCCTTTCTAAAGGAGAAGAATCACAAGGCTGATGGCACTTGGAGATGAAGGCCTTTGGAAAGGGAACCATGAAAACACAGCCACTGTACCTTGGGAACTGACATCATACTTCTCAGCAGAGAGTGACTTAATATCAATGGTGACCTTCTGAAGCGTCTCGATCACGTGAACTTGTTGGGTGAAGTCGTGGAGCATGGCCGTGCCGCAGCCCCTCAGGTAGGCTTCCAGGATCACGGCGAACCTCTGCTGATAGTGCCGGGACTGGGCTATCTCGCTTCTCAAGAACCAAAACAAGAAATGACCGATTCTTTTGTTCTGAGGGTGGGAACGAGAAGGATGAAATTATCGTGACTCGGGCTCCTGCTGCCAATTCTAGCTGACTTTGGAAATGCCCCACTATGATCAAAGTGGAAGGACTTACTCTTAAGCCTCGCTTCAGCAGAAATCGGGCCAGGGCGCTGTCATGATAGGGTTCAAATTTCACAGCCTGAAGGAAGAACACATGGGCACTTGTCCAATTGCATTCTGTGTTGGTTACTCAGGAAGAAGGGGATGCAGGGAAAATGGTCTGCCGTCCTGGGTCTTTCTGAGCTAGGGTGAGGAGACTCTTAGCAGTCATTGCAGTCAGCCGTTCTTTTCAAGGACACTTTGGGCCAGAGTGAACCACTTGCTTAGGGCCTGGGATTAGAAGCCAGAACTCTCGACTCATCGTTACGTGCTTTTGATAACCTCAAAGGTGAAGCTGTGAGGCTTTAGCTCCCGGTAGGGGCTTCCCTGATTTACTGGAAGGACAGAGGGGACACATGGGGATGGCTACAACAAATCGGCAAAAGTGATACGTAAAAGAGATTGTTGGAAAGGAAATGGACAGTGCAGATAACAGTACCTATAAGGAGAAAAAGATTAGATGTGGAAATCCTAAAAATCCTGTCGGTTCCCTTTTGCTCAAGATTTGTGTTTGGCATCTCCCCAAGCTGCCTCATGGGCCTTACTGCAAGTTAGTAGCAGGCCTGGACCACCCACACAGAGTGATCACTACCCCTCTGCCATGGAGCAGTGTAGACAGAGCTTTTTGTCTGAAAAGTCTCTGATTTTAGATGCTCCTTCCGGTTTAGTCATTTTCCTATCTCTTGGCTATCACAGAGATATGGACTCAGGTGGCAGACTGCTCTATGACCGAAGGAAAAGCACCAGTAAAGTGGAAAAAATAATTAAGAATGGTGGGTGTATACATATTTGCAATATCATTCTCTGTACTTATAGTACCTCATCTTTTTAACAGCTGCAAGAGTAGCAAATAAGATGGGTGCAAAAAGAGGGTGGATATCACATGTATGCATAAAGAGAGGCTTAAAATGAAATTAGCAATACTCTTAGTATTTCCTTTACAAATAGAAATGGTCTATCTTTTTTCTCCCAAGGAACCAAAGAAATTCCCATTCCGCTTTAATGTTTGCAGGCCTGTGGGTTTCTTGGTACAATATCCAGTTCTTACTCTGGTTTTCCAGTTTGGAAATGATCAATCCTGACATGATAATCTCTCTCTTATCTCCATGCTGTCAAAGGCACCTCTCATGTGTGGGCCAGTAAGGTGTCTGTAGCTGCCATGAGGGTCTGAATTCTGAGAATGTGGTTATTTAGCCACGGTACCAACTTCAGAATCAGTTGTATGTTTCTGGCTCGAACGTGAGTCTTTTTGACCTTATTCGTGTTTCACTTCTGTAAACACGATGCTGATCTCAACCAGGAGATCATTTTCATCAGGAATGAGTCATTCTGCCATATCGGAAAATGTCTCAAATAGTTTTACAAATGATGACTCTTTTTCACATTTACAACCACAAATTCAATGGTAGTGTTACTTACTGACCTCTTTCATTTAAAACAGTTCCAAGAAGAATGCCATTCATTTTTCAATTCTGTACAATTTGCTTGAGAAAATGACAATGAAAGATAATTCATCGGTGAATTAAATTTCATTAATTTTCACCTGTGGTATGTCAGGATCTGAACTAGTTGGCTGAGAAAAGATTAGGTACATTTAATAGATGAAAGCAAAGGTCGAATATCATCTTTCAAGGATCTGCATAATGAGAAGGTGAAGATTCAGAGTTAAAGTTGAGAATATCCAAAATGCTCCTCAGAAAACTCAGGGGCCTTCCTCTAATAGGCTGTTAATGATTTGACAGTTTAGTGTCTAACACTCGGCCTGGCTAATCTTAAAGATCTTCGGTCAAAACATCACTTATTCAGAACTGTCCCTGGTTTCCTCCAGCTATATTAAGTATCTCCAGGACCCCTGCCGATTTTCTCATAATATTCTGCAGGCTTTCCCCAAAGCATGTGCACAATTTGTCATTAAATATCTGTTTGTATGTTGCTGTCAATCTTCTCCACAGCACCGCAAGTTATGGGGAGGCAGAGACAGACCCGGTTGTGATCACCGCTCTCTATCTACCATCCAAAATGCGGCAAAGACTCAGTATATGTTACTGAATTAATGTAGGGACATCTCTGCACTGAAAACAAACAATTCCCTTCCAATTCCTTTACTTCCTCTTCCTTGTTAAGCAGCACAAAACCATCTGGGAACTGCTGTGGTGCGTGGAACCATGCCTCCTTTTTTTCAACTTCCTAGGTAAACCGTAATCAAATCGCTTAGCTTCTCTGGACTACAGGGAAAGGTGTGAGAACTGGAGTGGAAATGCTGGACCAGACCTGTCTCGAGAGAGGGGCTTTCCAGGTGCCACCCAGATAGGAGATGTTACTCTACGGATGGTGATGGGCGCGATCAGAGAGGCTGACCTTTTCTCTCTAGGACACACACTCCTGCCATGGGATTGTTGCAGGGTATTGGAGGCTGTGCAAAGAGCAGGGCCTGGAGCTGGATTTCTGGTTCGATTCTTTCCCGACTATGTGACCTGAGCACATTCCTTAGACTCTCCATCCTCTGTGCCCTCACACATACAATGCAAATGTTAATCTGACCTCTATCATAGTTGTCGGGAGAGTTCTATGTGAGAATACAGGAAAAGCATGCAAATCACTTGGAGCCTCCCTGTCTGGGCAAAAGGGAGCATTCAATAAGTCAGATCTGTCACTCATACAGTAAATGAGAACAAAGGACTCCTGTAGGGCCAGTTTTCCTAAAAAGCAAAATTGCTCAGGTCTTCAAAATGCTTATTGGCGGCCCCTCCAAGAGAGTACACAAGTAAATGGGACAGTTTGCTGCTTTTTGACGTGGCTTCATCAGATCTACTGTGACCGACTGTGACACCAGGGACAAAAGGCATTTGATGACCACTGGATGGGGAGACTGTGTACATGCAAATACACCCTCTAAGGACAGTGCTCTGGGGAGCGCAGCAGCAGCCCTACCTGGACCAGCTGTAGCAGGTAATGCAAGACGTCATCGTCCTCCAAGCTCTCCAGTTTCTGAACTGCGATGGCTCTTACATTTTCATCCGAAAAGTTGCAGTCCAGGAGCTGCATTGTTAACCCAACATCCAAAGCACTTTGGTCCCAGACCTCCCGTCTGGCTAACAGTTGGTATGTTTTGGCTACAATCTCTTGTTGTCCCCATTTTACGGAGCTAAACAGCTTAGGATAGGCCTTTGGATGCTTAAGACTTTCGTATCTGAAATGCCAGAGCAGTTCTTTGTCCTCTGCGGTGAGAGGGTTCAGTGGATCCGTGGCAATGATTGCCTCCAGTTGCTTGCGAAGCTGGTTGGGCATTTCCGCCCGAACCCGGTCCCCTTCAGGGTCAGGCGTGGGCCGATGTTTAGGCAAGGCGATGGGGTGGCAGTAATTGTCCAGAAGAATGGAGATGGACATTGAGTTCTCCTTGTCTGGGTTGGTCGCCGACGTGAGCTTGTCGGCATTGAAGCTCCCGTGGTCTTCTCCCTTCCCAGAGATCTGCCACATGTGGAGCACGTACTCCCCGTGGCGCAGCAGGAACCGGTGGTCTATCAGTAGCAGGTTCACATAATAGAGAAGCTGCGCTTTGCCTTTGGACTCAGAGCTGGGGCTCTCTGCGGCCACCTTGCCGGACAGGGCTGGAGTTTTGCTGCAGTAGATCTGGAGGTTCAGTAGAGCCCCTCTGGGCAAGTCTTTGATTTTGATGCTGAACTCGAGCCACACATTCCAGAGCACCTCCTCGGTGAAGGGTTTGGGGCTGGTTCTCCTTTGGCAAAGCACCTGCTGCCCGTGCTGGATGTTGGCCTCCACAAAAACCGTGAGGTCAGCGTTCCGGGGCAGGACCGGGATATCAATGCCTCTGATTTTGACCCTGAACTTCCGGTCGCAGTCCCACAGGGACACGGTGAACACACTCTCGTGGTCCTTCCCATGGATGGTCAGCTGCTCGTGGTAGCCAGTGACTCCCGTGCAGTCGTCCACCAGGGGCCACTCTTCTTTCCTCACCTCGTCCAGGGCTGGGTCCGGAGGCGAGTCCAGCACCAGGTGAATCTCTTCTCCGTTCTTGAGGCAATGCCTCACCCACTGGAAGTTTCTGATGGGCGTTTCACCCACCAGGTACTCATCCCGGCCGCACACGCGCAGCACAAAGTCCTGTTCGTTTTGGCTCTCGGGGATGTCCATCAGAGACTTCTTCTTGGCCATCTTGGTGAAGAAGCTCTGGAGGATGGTGCCTGGGGTGTCGTCAGCCGAGACCTTGATGGTCTGGCTGGTGGTGCTGCGGTGAATGACGATGAAGATGCAGTTGTTGGTGATCTTCTTCAGCAGGTACTCCGGGAGGGGCTTGGAGGTCACCCACGGGTGCATGGCGTAGAGCTTGGGGTCGCGGCCGGCCACCTCGACCATGCGCGGGGTGACCAGGCGGCGGCGCGTGAACTCGAGCTCGTTGTCGTGCACGTTGCTGACGTCGGTGACGTCGTAGCCGATGAGGGCGGTGAGCTGCCGCTGGAAGGCCAACGTCTCCTCGGAGGGCGCGCGCCGCTGCACCACATGGATCTGGCCCGGGCTCCGGTGCAGCACCTGCCAGTAGCGCAGGCAGTCCAGGGTCTGCACCACCTGGTGCTTGTCGTAGATCTCGTACCACTGACCCTTCTTCTGGTAGAGCAGGAGGAAGTGGTCCGGGCTGAGCCGGTGGTAGAAGTCCGCCGCCACGCTCGTCTCCAGCGCACGCAGCCACACCTGGGCCTTCATCTGCTCCACGTTGCCGTGGCCGGCCACGTGCAGCAGCGCCGTCTCGGGGGTCTTGCTGTTGCGCTGGCTGGTGGGCAGCACGAACTCGATGGGGATGAGCTCCATGGAGGACAGGCTGGCCGCGGAGCTGCGCGGCTTCATCCTCCGGCGCCGGCGGCGGTTGTCCTCTCTCAGAACCACGGGCTGTTCATAGTTCTCCAGCTCCATGCCCTACGCGACCTGGGAGCGGGGACACAGGAGGCTTTGTCACGGGGAAGGCACTTTTTTTCCCACGAGGTGGCAGAAGAAGGGAGAAGAATGGTAATGACACGCGCACGAAAGGACGGGCAGGGGTGGTGTTTGAAATCGGGGCGCGGGAATCCTGACCCCGCCCCTGGTATCTGGGGGCCTTGAGCTAGTTCAGGGATCTTTGCGCCTGTTTACCACCTGTCAGTTGGGATTGGGAATCCCTCAGAGGGTGAAAGGGATGATTAAATTAGGTGATATCCTTGTTCAGCATAGGTGATATCCTTGTTCAGCATGGGCGATAGGCATATGGGGGTTCATTTATCTTGTACTTTCATTACATCTGAAAATTTAAAAAGAGACGTAAAGCACTCATCTCGCACGGTCCCTCACGTGTTATAACGGCTCCAGGGTAATAGCTGTTCTTAAGCATACTGAAATGGATAGAGGACTAAAATCACACAGTTAAAGGGCAGAGTTCTAATTTACAAGGTGCAGTGTGAGATGTTGAACCCCCCCCCCCCCCCCCGCCACTTTGAAAATGGGCCTTCGACTTGTTTCGTCTTTGTTCAGTCTTACACTTCTCCTTGGGACCCAGACACCTCACCCAGCCACGCTGCACATTCTCGATTTTCAAACTGTCTGGATCAGGTATCTTACTATCTAGCCAACTTCCTGTCTTTTTCTTTTTTTCTTTTTTTTTCTTTCTAGTTAGAAAAGTTGGTAATTGCATTGATAATATTCAAAACCATCAGATTGGGTGATATTGCAGAGTAAGAACGTTTGCAAGTATTTACGTTTTTGAATTGTGAAATGGGTACACGTTCCCACTGTCATTGCTACATTAAGGCAGGATCTTAGGGGAGTCACCAAGGCAGTACTCTTGTAGTAGGAACGTTCAGATGTTTGTGACTTTGCACCAATTCATTCCATCTGCTCTGCCTCTGACAGTGGAGAAACCACAGGCTGGAAGAAAGGATTTCTGGATTCTAGTGATTTCCTAGGTGGATCCCAGTCAATTATTTAACCTTTTTTTTTTTTTTTCTCATTTTTTCTTCTCTGTGATGAGAATTCACAAATTCATTTTCATCATTTCACTCTTTCCTCAAATCTTTAATAAGTACCTCCCCTTCACAAAACATTTGAGTACAAATGTGACAGAATGCAATAGGAAACACTTCCAATAAATAGTAAAAATATTAAAATTGAAATACAAACAAGGTGTTTTGATTTTAACATTCAGTATCACCGCATTGTAAGATATATTCTAAATAAGAATCAAACATCGAAACAATAGTTAATGTTTCAGAAAATACCATTTACTCTCTTAAATGACTAATGTTAGTAAGACTCATAAGTACTTATTTCCTTAAGAGCAGACCATTTGATATATACCGAAAAGAGTTTGATTAAAAGATAAGCAAGACAAGTTTCATTAGATCCAAGCTTCTATTCAATCTTGACCTGAACTTACTTTTAAAGTCAATATTCCCTCTCTTCAAATATGATGAAGTTATATTTAGTAAAGACATGAAATCAACTGTCCCAGAGGATTCTCTCTCCCAGCTTTTAATTCACTCTTTGGTCTGTGCCTATGTCCTAGATTAACGATGGAAGAAGAGAACCATAAGATACATTTATACTGACACAAGTTAAAATAAAATTGGTCCACATTGAGGCAACAGACACATGCACAGCAATCGCTTCTGCCGCGGTGATACTGAACCATCTCACGAGATACCGGACGCAGAAGAAAACAGGCTGGCTAAGTACTCACTGCTCTCCTTCATGGCCGAGGCTACAGGCTTTCTCCTCTGGGGAAGGCATCAGAAACACCCTTACGCGCAATAAGCAGTGAGCATGCACTTGTAAGACCATGAAGCCCGGCAGGCACAAGCCCCCGGCGCCCTCCCCACTTCCTCCCAAACAAAAACAAAACAAAACAAAACAAAACAGGACAGATGCACCTGCAGACACTTTGGCCGGAACCTTGTGAATATCCTCACGTCTAGGCTGGACTAGACAGTGAACCGGAGCCATTCAGCGGTGGTATCATCTCGAGAACCGACAACCCTTCCAGATAAAAATATTCGAGCTGAGGCGGAAGTGTCACTATTCCGAGTCAGACCCGACAAAGGGCAAAAAATAGAAGGAAGTAATACCTGATAAAGCCGCCGAGCGAGGCAGAGATGCTGAAGGATCATTTGTTTAGTTTTTGCAAACAAAACGAATTCGAATCGAGAATCGACCCCGTGTGCCTCTAAGCTCTTCCGCTTTTCTGGGTCTCCCTTCATATCCAGATGCAGAGGAAGTGTTGCAGTTACCAGGAAGGAAGTTTTAACCAAGTTGATTATACGTGTGATTGCTCATTTTAAAAGTGTCAGAAATGCATTTCCTGTTATAGCACAGAGGGAAGCACGAGAGTGAACGATGTTTACCGTACGTATATTCTCCCCTTTGAATGAATTCTTTAGAAGGGGAGAGACTGAGACAAATTAAATACACATTCATAAAACATAAACACGTGAGACAGAAATAGTTCTTTCTAGATAGTTCTGAGAAGAAAAGGCCTAAGAGCCGCAATATTAGAGAAACAGTCTGGTAGGAAGCTTTTTAAGAGCCCAGTTAAGCCCATTAGCCCTGCAAAGCTCATTGAATTGTTGTCTCCCCCCCCACCCCCACAGGAATTCAAATGAACCCTTGCTCATCAGCTGTAACTGAGGGGTGGAGGGTGGGGAGAAACCTAGTAATCTAGGGGCCTGAGTTACAAAGCTGAACATTTTCAAAGATAAGCTCTGAGAGCTTGCTTCTTTACCTTGCTAAGACATTTCTCTATATTTTCAGAGCATTCAGGGTCCAAAATATCACTAGTATGTATGTGTGTATGCTTGTATCCATGTGTGCTGTTGGGGAAGACTTACTGTGACCGATATTGGCTACAGAAAAAATAGTTGTCATGGGAAGATTGGGGAGCTGAGCACTGACACAACCATCAGATAGACAGTCACAAAGAGATAGCTTCTGAGTCCCATGGGAGTGGAGAATCCATAGAAAAACCATCCTAAATAATTTTTAGAGAGTTTTATATTTTCCAGGTGACCTCAGTTCTTTCTGGAACCCCTAAGCCCACTCAGATCGTGAAGCAGTGTCCCCTCTCCTCTGCCCCAGGGTTTCCTATACTAGAGTTCATCCCCAATCTGGGTTCTCCTGGACTCTAGCTAAGCCCCAGGAACATCAGGGAGGATGGTGCTGGCCTCATAGCTTTCTTGGAGGTATGTAATTGAGAGGTTCTCTGAATTACTCTTACATCAAGATAAATTATCCTTGATCTGATCAATCTCCTTTCACATCGACCCCTTGGGTCTTAGCTTTCTGCAGATAGTTTCTACAAATAGTCAAATAGTACCTGTAATCATGGACAGCAGCAGGCAAACCATTTGATGCGAGGACTGCCTCCCCAAAATTTAGAGGGGCCTCATCAGCTTCCCAAAGTATATTCCTACTTAGAAATCCTCCTTTAGGAGGATGGTGGATTTAGAAGCCTCAGAGCTGGTCCTCCTGGTGGATTCTGAATGAGGGGAATGTGCTTCCCACCGACTGTTGAAGGGGGGCTAATTGGGGCAGGAGAGCTGACCACAGAGGGACCATGAACTTGGCCAGCTCTCTTCCCAGACTATTCAACAGATCCCCCTCCTAGCCCTGGCTCAGTCACACTTGGGGGGGGGCACATCCCAACCTGATTACCCCCTGCATCCCCCACTTCCCATATATATACATTAGTTATTCCAAAATGCTAGACACTGGCTCTTGGGTCTCCTTGCCACTGAAGGAAGTACTCAGCTAAGTCCAATTATGCAAATATTGTCTGTTCTATGACTAAACTTGCAAATGGTTCAGGCTTTATTGGTGGTTTGAGATTAAAAATACCCTACCCTTCCCCAAATCCTAATATAGCTGCTAAAATTTGACCGTATGTCATAAGCGTTCCAAGGCAGAAGTCGTGGTCAATGTCTCCTTCCTTTCTGTGGATACTTCCTCCTTGCAGAAGAATTCTTTATGAGTTAGGGCCTCTTTCAGCCTCAGAAGACCCCTAGACTTCATCATTAACCTGCTTTATTGATATGTTTTTCTTTTCTTCTCCCCCACCCCCTTCTGTGGATCTCCACGCATCTAGGACCATGTTTTTCTTATCAGTAGACCTACATGACCTTCTGTATCACTTCCAACCATGGCAAGAATGACAAGGTAGGACAGATGAGAAAATAACCCAGTAAGATCTGTCAGTGGTTAATGAACAGATTAAGAATGAATCATTTGCTATGAGGAAAGCTCATTGTGATAGCCTTTAGAGAGTTTATTTACAGTCTAGTTGGAGAGATAAGATGTGCAGAAACAAAGCTAAGATGTACAATATGATAGTACGTATAGGTACGATTAAGTACAATATATGATGTCTGTTACAAAAATGCAACAGTTTGAGGGAAGAGATCACTTTGGTGGGCTTTCTGGTTTAGGAAAGCACAGGGTGAGGGAAGCTTTTCTCTCCATCGGTAAGCACCCCAAGAATCACAATACTATCATCACCCACAAGAACAAACTCTCCCGTAACACTTTCTATGTGACTTACATTGTTCCAAGCACTTGGATATATTACTTTATTTAATCCTCATCACATCCCAAGGAGGGCACTCCTGTTATCCCCATTCACCGGTCATGAAAATAATGCACAAAGTTGGGTGACTTGCCCCCGGGTCCCACAGCTGGGAAGCGGCAGCTGTCACAGTGTTTATTCCAGGGGACCATGGCTGTTTTACTGGGCTGTCTCCTCCACTCGACTGTGAATCCTTGTGGACAGTGACTGGTCAGCTCATCACTGAATCCCCCAGGGCCTGACACAGTGCACATACAAAGCAAGGGCCTTGATAAATATTTGTGGAATGGATAGTTTGTGTAGGATATCTCTGTTTTGAAAATCAGTGGAGGGACACCTGGGTGGCTCAGTTGGTGAAGCGCCTGCCTTTGGCTCAGCTCATGATCCCAGGGTGCTGGGATCAAGTCCTGCATTGGGCTCCCTGCTCAGCGAGGAGTTTGCTTCTCTCTGCCTGCCACTTCCCCTACTTGGGCTCTCTCTCTCTCTCTGACAAAAAAACAAAATCTTAAAAGAAAAAAAAAAAGAAAAAAAATCAGTGGATCTCCTTGCATTTACAGGAAGCAACAGGAATATGGGGTGATCCCCCTTTAATCTCCCAAATCAACCAAAACCCAGGCATCCCCTCCCTCCCATCTAACCATGTAACCCAAAGCCCTGCAATTTGCCTTCTCTGGAAACTTCAGAACAGGAAATATGGGAGGAAACTGTTGTGCAGACTGTGGCAGGTGGGAAGAAACTCAGTGTAAGATTATAAGGAACTGTAATGCTTTAGAAACATCCCCTTTATAGCCCCTCTGCCTGATCCAATTTATTAGTTCTCTTTGTTGTTCCCTTAATATAAGGAACTGAAATATAAGACCCCAAACTCCCTGTACCACCCATCCTTGTAAACAAGGAATCCACTCCCCCCTCCCCTCAACACGGTTGTCAAGACCCTGCCCTGGGACCTTGCCTGCAGAATTACCTGCAGACACTCTAGAATTTTTATCTACCTACACACCTATCCACTATCTCATCACATGACTGTCTCTATCTCATGTACCGAGATCCTGACAGAGACAGAACTGCAACAGGGAGTGCAGCTTCCAAACCAAAGATGGTGCCTGATTTCCCTGTTCTAGGGCATAGCAGAGACGTACAACGGGCTTAAATGGAGCCTGCTCTCAGAGCTCGGGTCCAGGCCTGGAGCGATGGCAACAAGCGGCTTCTCAGGCCTTTACGTGGGACTTTGATCCTTTCAAAGCCCTGGGTTCTCTGCTTAAGAGTTTGGCGGAGGCACATCCCGTTGGAAGGAATCCCAGAGGATGCCCTGCCTCTCCAGGTTCCAGAAAAAGAGTGCAGGAGGGCGGGCGGGGGTGGGAAGTGGGAAGGGAGCGCGGACCCCGAACGAAGCCCTGCGGGGCTGGGGACGCGACGAGGCCACCGCCCTGCGTCGCCCTCCGGAGTGGCGGACTGGACTTGGGGCCTTGCGCCACCTGCCCGCCTCCCCGGGGCCCCCGCCCCATGCTCCGTTCCCAGCGTGGCGCGCGGGCCGGGCGGACCCCACAGCCTCGCTACTTCGGGTACCTAGGAGGAATCTTCTTCGCCTCCAAAGCCCGGCCGCTGGCTCTGCGATTATCCATTTCGTGGTTCTGTTTAATCCGGTGAGAATTTTCCGCGGGTCCGGAAAAGCCCCCAATGGGCGTGGCTCCACGAGGGGGTGAGTGCCCCCCCCTCGTGTTTCTCATTTTCTTTTGAAGTGGATATCTGCCCCCTCCCCTTCCTTCCTTTTCTTTTAAAATAGTATTTACCGACTTGAGCGGGGGAGGGGCTTCTGGATTGTTGAGAACACTCTGTTTCTGGATGACGTAGGGGCGGCGCGGAGTGAACACTTTGTTGAATATTCATCGAGCTGTACCCTCGACGGTCACTTTTCTGCGTGGGCGTTATACGTCAATATGGATCAACCATAGTATTTACCTAAAGTCATTTTTACTTTAAAAATGTCTGAAATTTAAGCAACTTTCCATACTTTCTTAATTAAGAGGGTTTTCCTCCGCCTTCTTGGCAGACCCCTTGCCTTGTGAATCTGGATGTTCCGGGTGGGGGCAGTGCCGGACCATCGTGTCTGCTTCCCACGAAGCAAGCATTCGGTTAACGTTTGTCATGGACTGTCGTCCGTGTGCTGGCAGATGGAGTCCCTGTCTGCAAGGAGCTTGCCCCTTAGCAGGCCAGAGATGTCCACCTGCTGTCATCACACACAGATGACGCGGGGGGCAACAAGGGTTGTAGGAGTTCAGGGTTGTCTTTCCCACCTGAGCCTTCCAGAGGGAAGGCCTTGCTCGGTAGGGGTGGGTGGCAGGGAGAGCTGGGCAGGGAGAAGCGAGGGGGAAGAGCATTCCAGCGGAGGGCATAGTATAGGCAGGTAGAGTTCGGAAGACTGAAATTTCCTTAAGTAGCCTAGAATGCCGGAAAAGGCCCAGAGAGCGCGGGCTGTGGCCAAGTGCGGGTATGCCCGACTGGCGGCGAGCAGCAGTCTGTAGGAGTTGTTGCACGAGTGGGAAGAGCCAACCTCAACAGGGGTGGTGGGGGGAGTCCGGTAGGGGGTGGGGAAGGTAGGGGGTGGGAGGGAGCAGAAGCGGGGTTGGAATACATCCCTCGGGACCCCTGGACTTTCTTTCATAAAGAGTAACGGCTTTACTGAGGTATACTTTACATACCATCCCTTTAGCTTTAACCTTGCTCCTGGTTCTCTGGGGCCAAGGCCACAGCCCTAATACAGTCATGAGGGTACCCTAACTGAGCTAATCGCATAACAAAATCTCAGTGGTTTACTGCTTTCTCTCCTCTAGAGCTGGTGGGTTCCAAGCATTCAGTCCAGAACCAGCTCCCTCCAGCTAGAGGTTCTGCTCTCCCCTTGGCCCTTGAGGCCTCCACTGGGTTTGAGAACTGCCTGTGGCTCTCGTGCCGTCACTTCATTGGTCAGAACTCTGTCACGTGACCCACCGAACAGACCCGGGGGCTGGGGAGCAGCCTCTCTGGGTGCCCCCCCCCCGTGGGGGAGGGGAAGAAATGGAGCGTTCTGTTGGCAGCAACATAGGAGCGTTGATAGCCCTTTGAGGAGCGTGATAAAATGTAAGTAGCATCATCTATCTAAGTTCACGTGTTATGAATTATTTCTGTCATGAGACACTTAGAATGTGGCCCATCGGCGTTAGACTGTCACTGACGTGATTGTATCTCCTCTCTATGCGGAAGGGTCAGTGATGAGTAAAGTCTTTCACGAAACCAGACACTGGCCATCTCCTCTGTTGCCTTTTCCCGACCTTCGAGAATAGTGCAGTTCTTCCTGCTTTTGCTGGAAAATTGTCTCGTCAGGTGGCGCGGTTACCCAGAGAATCTGCCTTAGAGAACGGAGATTCCTAAATAGCTGAGCAAGTACATTAGTTGATCTTGTCAGAATCGAGGCCAACCAAAACACTTTTTAAGTCACACTTTTAGAGTATTTTGTGAATTATTATACCACCCCATCTCAAAGTTTATCAGTCATAATCCAAGTTTATTTTAATGATCTTAAAAAAGCCTATTTTTACTAAAACATACGTATCAGCAGCAGTGTAGGGCACTGAGGGAAGGCTCGGGTCACATGGTCCCTTGGAGACCAGGCTGAGGGAAGCTCTACCATCTTCCACATGTGGCTTTCTAGATTGCTGCCCGCATCGGCATCCAGCCAGAACGTGCGAGTGGCATGTGACAAGGGCGATTTTTATGGGCTGGGCCTGAAAGTGGGAAATGACCTTTCCATCTACATTTCATTGACCAGAATGGAGTCATATAACTATGCCTACTGCAAGGGTCTGAGCCTCTGTTGCAGCTCACCAGTGACCACCCAGAGATAGTGATGGGGTTGGTGCACAGCTGGTCATCTCTGTCACAGTGGGGCCAGCATCTCCTCTTTTTAAAAAATGAACCTACCTACCCTAGCTCTACCCAAATGTGATATACTAGGGATGCTGGTTTTAAGAAAAAAAGGAGATTTTGCTTTTAATACGATGGGTCTAGAAGGATGAAATATTTTGTTGTTTGATTGATAATGTAAGTTTATGATTGATAATATGAGTCCCAAAGGAGGGACGTGAGCTTTCAAGATGGCGGTGGCTGGGTGGCTGACGGGTACACAGAGGTGAAGGCTCCTACGAGTTTTTCTGGTTTTTTTTGTTTTAATGAACAAGTGAACCATACAAATGGTCAAGATGGGATGGAGATTGACATTATCCACCAAGAGTGGAAGATTTATGAACCCCACAGACCAACCCAAAAAGAAGCCTGGAAGAGAGAATTAAAGAAGAGCAAAAAACAGTACGTGATGGTACGAGCTGCAGTTTTGAAGATGAAGGATCCCAAGCAGATTATCCAGGACATGGAGAAATTGGAGGAAATGGAGTTTAACCCGGTGCAGCAACCACAGTTAAATGAGAAGGTGCTGAAAGACAAGTGTGAAAAGCTGTGTGAAACCTCTGAATGTAACCTGCGACTCTATGAGAAAGACAATCCGGGTATTTACAAAGAACTGAGAAAA